ATGTGGGGGAAACCAGGAGTACTTGAGACAGACAATCTGTTTCCTGAAAGACGGGTAAAACATTTAGCTAAGAGTATTGGGTTTCACCTTTGTTTATTGTACTGGGCTGAACTGTCTTATATTTCTCCGTACAAGGTAGGGAACTCAGTATGTATGTATGTATGTATTTATATTTCAAATTTAGATACCGCCCATCTCTCAAAAAGTGACTTATTTCTCTAGAAATCTTGTACTCTGGCGTAATAAGTTGAGTTCCGTTCCAATTTCTTAAAAAAAAAAAAGTTTCCCCCCTACCTCTAGTAGGCCAGTACCGCCTGGGGCAACTATTTTTGTATTTTATTCTATAGGCGATTTTTTTGTTTAATTGCTGATCCTCAGAAAGTTTGCATTTTATTGTCTAATGTAACATGGAAAACTTGCATCTGAATGTCTAAGGTTAAAAAAATAATTACAGTTTTTCTTTAAAATAACACGGTTCATTTTTGCTTATCTCTGGTGAGATTGGGCTATTGTCCAAGAAGGGAGGGAAGAGTTGGAACTTCTAGTCTTGCACCTGTAAGCCGCGTGGCCAGGAACTTGCATTGTAGATTTGCCTTCCCATTGCCGGAAAGGCAACGCAGGAAGTGGAAGGACTCTCCCTCTCCCTCTCCCTCCCTCCCTCCCTCTCCCCCTCTCTCTCTCCCTCTCTCCCTCTCTCCCTCTCTCACAGGGGCTTGTAGGAGGTGGCCAGGTGAGGTGACTCTAAAGGATACGTGGTGGCAGTGGGAACTACCAAGCTGCTCACCCAAAGCAGGAGGTAGGGCCAGGGTGGCTTCTGGGAAGGGAGGCTTGAGACCTCCAGGTATGTGCCTTAAGGACTCGGCTGTCCCGCCACCTTTATTTATGTGTTTATTACATTTGTACCCTCCCAGTGATTCATGAAGGTTCGAGTGGGAATCAGCCATCGGCAGAACAGAGAACAATGTCTTAATAATTAAAAGGGATATACAAATAATAAACCGAATAAAGCAAACATTCTATCAACTCCTCACTACAGTGCCTCCAGAAAATCAAAGATGTACACATAGATGAAGATGAAATTATGGTCTCGTTTGATGTCACAGCATTCTTTACATCCATAAACCCAGAACTAGCGAAAGAATCCATATCAGCAGAACTATACAACACACACGACCTAACCAAATACACCCAGATCGAAATACCCAGAATCACGGACCTCGCCAACCTCTGCCTCACCACCTGTTTCCAGTCTGATGGACGAATATACCAGCAAATCAGAGGCCCACCCGTGGGATCACCACTGTCGGGACTCATAGCAGAGACTGTAATGCAAAGCCTACAAGCCACAGCACTTCCCCACATACAACCTAAAGTATGGATCCAGTATGTAGATGACACCTTTGTCATAATAAAAAAGGAACAACTAGAGAAGACACATGAAACCATTAACAACTTCAGAGGAATAAAATTCACCAGAGAGGAAGGA